TCAAAGTTGCTGTGAACATTCATGTACAAGTCCTTATGTAAACATACACTTTCATTTCTCTTGAGAAAATACCTAGGAGTAGAATGGCTGGCCATATGATAGGTATATGTTCAACTTTTTAAGAAATTGCCAAATTGTTTTCCAAAATGCTTACGTAATTTTACATTCCCACCATGTATGAAAGTTCTAGTTGCCCCATATTGTCACCAACACTTGGTATGGTCATTCTTTTTAAATTTTAGACATTCTAATGGGAATATAGGAGCTCTGGTAGCATAGTGCCTAAGGCACTTGACTGCTAACCAGAAGGCTGGCAGTTCAAACCCACCAGCCACTCCTCAGAAGGAAGGTTGGGCAATCTTACTTCTGTAGTGATACCGCCTAGGCAACCCAAAGAGGGGTCACTATGAGTCAGTCCGACCCAACGGCACATAACAACAACAACAATGGGAATATAATAGCATCTTGTTTTGGTTTTAACTTTTATCCCTAATGGCTAATGATGGTGAGCATCTTATCATGTGCATATTTGCTACCCCTTTATCTTTTTTGTTATGTATCTGTTCAAATCCTTGTACATTTTAACAATAGTTATTTGCTTATTATTGAATTTTAAGAGCTCTTTATGTATTCTAGATACAAATCCTTTATCAAATACTGTATGATTTGTAAATATATTCACCCTCTGACTTGTCTCTTCATTCTCTTAAAGTGTTTTTCAAAGATCAGAACTTCTTAATTTTGATGAAGTCCAATTTATCATTTTTTTCTTTTATAGGTTGTGCTTTTGATGTATATAAATGCTGTATTAAGAAATATTTGCCTAACCTAACATCACAAAGGATTTTTCTCCTGTTTTCTTCTAGAAGTTTTAGAGTTTCATGTTTTATACTTACATCTGTATTCCATTTTTTCATTTTTTATATATATTGTGAGATATTGGTCAGAATTTTCTGTTTTGCATATAGATAAATGTTACAGAACCATATGTTAAAGACTATCCATTGTCCAGTGAACAGTCTTTGTACCTTTGTCAGAAATCAATTAACTACTAATATGTACATCTATTTCTGGGCTCTGAGTTCTGCTCCATTGATTTATGTATCTATATATTTGCCATTACTACACTGTCTTAGTTACCATTGCTTAAAATCAGGTAGTGTGAATATTACAGCTTTGTTATTTTTGTACAAAATTGTTTTTGCTAATCTAATTCCTTTGTATTTCCATATGAATTTTAATATTAGCTTGTCAATTTCTCAACAACAAAAAAATCTACTAGAATTTTCATTGGGATTGTCTTGAATCTACAGACCAACTTAGAATATTGAGTCTTCTCCCAAGAGTTCAGTAAACCAAACCAAACTCACTGCCCTTGAGTCGGATCTGACTCATAGCGACCCCTCCTTGGGATTCAGAGGTGGTGTCTCTACAGAAGTAGATTGCCCAACCTTCTTTCTAAAGATTGGCTGGCGGGTTTGAACCACCAGCCTTTTAGTTAGCAGTCAAATACCTTAGGCACTATGCTACCAGAGCTCCCATGAGTTCAATACAACTCTCCATTTATTTAGGTTTTTTAAACTTTCTCTCAGCAATACTTGTAGTTTTCAGTGTTTAGGAATCACACAACTTTTGTCATATCTGTCCCTAGAACTTTGATACCCTTTCAGTTTTATTTTAATTTGGAAAATTAAAAAAAGACATAGTACTCTCACTGCCTTTGCAATTTTTCTGTAACTCTAAAATTACTCAATAGTTTGCTCAGAGAAAAATAAACTTGCCCCTAAGAATTGAAGTTGCCCACACTGCTTATCAAAACTAGAGCATTTTCTCCAGTAAATCTCAGACAGGTGAAGGAACAGAGATGGTGGCTTGTTGGATTGATGTGAGGTTGAAGATTTGGATAGGGGGACAAATCTCTTATTTCAACCAAAGGCTCTAGCCTCTCTTTGCTACAAATGCAATACTTCCTTCTCTTTATACTCTGCAGAGTGGTAACTCTGTCCTTTCTGCCCCTGCTCCCAATTCCCTTGGAGACTCCATAAATTGGGCTTTATACTGTAGGGACAATGATGTGGAGCTGAAGAGATATGGTCTGAGGGAGGGGTGGATATTCAGACAATTGAGGGAAAGATCTGGTCATTAGAAGTCCTTTTTTATCTAGGGTAGACACTGTAATATACCACCACAGGTCCCTGGAATGTAGTTGAGACTGAAAATGGGATTGGTAAAGTTTGGCTCTGGAGCATTGGAGTTGCCCATAGGAATGTGGCAGGCAGTGAACTATTGGGTTGGGCTCTTCTTCATTTCCTATCAGTTGTAAATGAAGAATTGTCAAGAGAGAGGCTGCCATAGTCCCTCTGTCCACATCCTCATGCTGTTTTCCTCTGCAGCCTGGGAGCTTCCCAAGGGAAACTTCTGGCACTCAGGCAGAGGAAAGGGATTATGAGTGGAAATAAAAGCCTAATGGGCATCATGATGTCGTGGAAAGAGCCATATTCTAGGAGTCAAGAGACCACTTCAAATACTGAGTAGGTCGCCACTTCCCTGGTGGCCTTGAGCAAGTCACTTTCATTCTGTAACGTGAGGGGTTGAACTATACAATCTTAAAGATTCTTTTATGAGAAGATGGACTATGTTTTATTTCTTTTTGTCTCCCCAGCATATAGCACAGTGCCTGACACATAGTAAGGGTTCAGGAAATGGTGTGATTAGTGAATAAATGAATGAATGAAAGAAATGGTAGAAAAATTAAAGGGGCCAAAGTGAAGTTCTTAAACATGGCCAGTGGGTGGCATCACCTCTCTACATAACCACAAGGGGGTGTTACAGTTTCAGACCAAGGGAAATAATTTAGATTAGAGATGAACTGAGGTAAAGAAGAAATGGTCTGGCAATCTGATCTTTTAAATGGATACTTAAACTGCCATTGATTCCGTTTGACTCATAGTGACCCTTCCTTGGGTTTCTAAAGCAGTATCTCTATGAAAGTAGATTGCCCAATCTTCCTTGCAAGGAGTGGCTGGTGGTTTGAATCACCAGCCTTCTGGTTAGCAGTCAAATGCCTTAGGCACTATGCCACTAGAGCTCCCTTTTAAGTGGACAGCAAAATAAAATAAAATAAAAATCCACTGCTACTGAGTCAATTCTGACTCATAACGACCCTGTAGGATAGAGGAGAACTGCCCCATTGGGTCTCTAAAGCTGTAAATCTTTACAGAAGCAGACTGCCACATCCCTCTCCCACAGCTCAGCTGGTGGATTCAAGGTGCCAACCTTTTAGTTAGCAGCTGAGTACTTAACCATAAATGGATAGCAGAACCCTGGAATTCTGACCTAGCTTCTTTTCTCCAAACCAAGAGAAAATAAATCCAAAACATTAAACAGCTATCTTCACTGCCAGATTGGCAAGGTGATTCTGGGTGGCTTGAAGAGTGATATGGCCCAGAGAGATGGATGACTGGCACAAAGTAACACAGGAGCAATTGAGAACAGGTTTCATGTGACCATGGTGAGTACCCCCCTCTGTGGCCCCCTTGCCCTTACTGAAAAACCCACACATCTGACAACCAGCCTGGAACCCTCTCACTTCTGGATCTCTCCCTATGAGTTCATCAAACCCACCATGATTTATTATCTTGAAAGGCCCTTTTCTCTTGCAGTACCCTAAGGGAACTAAACATCCAACATTGCCTTTGTTAGGCCTGCCAAGGGCAGGAAGGTGTTCACTATGTGGGAATCCTTGGAAAGTTTCTACCCTTTTACTTACCCACCTCCCACCTTCCCTTTTTCGCCACCACATTGCTGTTTCTGCAATGGGTATGGATGTGGGCATGGACGGGAGGAGCCAATAAGGCACATTTTCCAGTTTGGACTGAGATCATAGGGAGACAGGATGAGGTGTGGTTAGGGTGTATCTCAGGATCCAGGGCTCTGAAATGAGGGTAGGTTGGGAGAGGTGGGATACAATTGATCTCTGGCTTCCAGACTAGAGCAGAAAAAGGTGAAAGGCAGTAGGAGTGATCAAAGTTAGCAGAACTACTTGATCGTCAAGAGCAGGAACAGCACTGAGACCCAGGTCCACTCAGTTCTCACAGGCCCACTGTTCCCAGTGGGGAGGGAACAGGAAGCCATGACTTCCTCTCCCCTTTCCCTCCCTGCCCTTAGCTTCAAGGTCACTTGCTGCTGAGATTAATTCCAACCTGTGTTTTACTTGGCACTGTTCCCGGGGCATGGTAATAGCTGCTCAGTACCTGTTTCTTTCCCCACAAAACACAAGCTCCTCCTTGAAATAATCATCATTCATGTAAACAGTGATGTACAAAGTGCTTTTTCACATGCATTATCTCATTACATTACACCAATCCTGTGAAGCAGAAATTCGTATCTAAAAATTTCAGGCAAGGAAATTGAAGCTCAGGAGTTGAGCAACTCACTCAAAGTCACACAGCTACTGAGTAGCAGACCTGGAGCTCCAGAACTCCTGCTCCTTCCTCTCACTCATTCTGATCTCCCTGTGCCCTCCCAGACCGCTTCCCTTAAGCACCCAAGGGAATACTTCATGCAGAGAGGGTCTCTGCACAGTTAGGAATAGAGGGGGCTCTAGCCTTCTTCCTGGGGTGAAAACTTGGAGTTGCTGTCTACAGTTGGTAACTCCCCATTCTCCCTTCTCTCTCTGCTGTATACAGCCCTTCTCTCTCTCTCTCTCTCTCTCACACACACACACATTTCATTTATTCCAGAGTACAGGCTTCCCTCTTGTTGCCCCACCCACCACCAATCACAACCAACAGGGAAAGGGTAGGTTGTCCCATCTACACCCCTCCCTCAAGGTGTGGGCATGGGCGTGGGTTGGGGCTCCTGGCAGGTAGAGGCCCCAAGAGAGGCACTCACATAGAGCTTCCCCTGCTGAGAGCCTGTGGTGGCTCCTGTCAGTCTCCAGGACTGGCAGGTACCCCCTGGCCCCTCTGCCTGGAACCACTGACCTCTGATGCCCTGCGATGCCCACATCCAATGCCTCTGTCCCCCTGCCCACGTCCCTCTGGGTCAACACCTCTGGAGGCAGTGTGCTGAGTGCTGATGATGCTGCAGTGCCTGTTGATTCTCTAGCCCTGAGGGTCGTGGTTGCCCTGGCCTATGGACTTGTGGGGGCCATTGGCTTGCTGGGAAATTTGGCTGTGCTGTGGGTGCTGGGTGACTGTGCTCGGCAGGCTCCTCGTCCACCTTCCGACACCTTCATCTTCAACCTGGCTCTGGCGGACCTGGGGCTGGCGCTCACTCTCCCCTTCTGGGCAGCTGAGTCAGCACTGGACTTCCACTGGCCCTTCGGAGGTGCTCTCTGCAAGGTAGTCCTGACAGCCACTGTCCTCAACGTCTACGCCAGCATATTCCTCATCACAGTGCTAAGCGTGGCCCGCTACTGGGTGGTGGCCATGGCTACGGGTCCAGGCACCCACCTCTCACTCTTCTGCGTTCGCACGGCCACCCTGGCAGTGTGGGTGGTGGCTGCTCTGGCGACAGTGCCCACGGCAGTCTTTGGGGCCGAAGGTGAAGTGTGGGGTGTGCGCCTGTGTCTGCTCCGCTTCCCCAGCAGGTACTGGCTGGGGATCTACCATCTGCAGAGGGTGGTGCTGGCCTTCGTGGTGCCTTTGGGCATCATCACCACCCGCTACCTCCTCCTGCTGGCCTTCTTGCGGCAGCAACAGCAGCGACGACAGCGGCCATGGAGGGACAGTGGAGTTGTGGCCCGTTCTGTCCATATTCTGGTGGCCACCTTCTTCCTATGCTGGTTTCCTAACCATGTGGTCACCCTCTGGGGTGTCTTGGTAAAGTTTGACCTGGTGCCTGGGGACAGCACCTTCTACACCCTCCACACCTATGTCTTTCCTGTCACCACCTGCCTGGCTCACAGCAACAGCTGCCTCAACCCCGTGCTGTACTGTCTCCTAAGGCGGGAGCCCCGGAGGGCCCTGGTAGACATCTTCAGGAATCTGCGAATGAAGCTGTGGCCCCAGGGCCAGGGCTGGGTGGAACAGGTGGCCCTAAAGGAGGTAGGCAGGCGGTGGGTGGCAGGCACTCCCCAGGAGAGTGACTCTTCCACTATGGTCACCAACTTGGACAAGGGGATACCTGAGTTCAGGGGTCCAAGATGAACCCCCTCCTTTTTCTAGGGCCTGTCAGGTGCAGGATCCAAGTATCCTACAGACAGATGTTGGCTCCTTTGCCAGGCTGTAGTGACCTCAGGGCAAGTCTGATCTTTGATCTCCAACCTCTGGGTGCAAGAAAGGAGGGGAGACCAAAGCCCAAGTCAGACCTATCCATGACAAAGCTTATCTCCAACTGGAGGTGGGAAGAAGAGGACCTGAAAATAAATCTCTAGATTGTCTACTGATTCTGTCTTCATCTTTTTTTCCCTAGTTCCCCTTTTAGTTCAGTGTAAGATAAAAGGATTCTAGGCCCCATTTCTATGTTCTGTAAGAATTTCCAGGAAAATATCCCTAAGGTTTCTAGGCTAATGAATCAAAGGTCAGGGCCCTTCTCCTTTTCTCCCTGTCCCCACCTTTGCCTAAAAATAGAGTGTGCCCTTGTACCTTTTCTGGTGCCAAGGCCAAAAATGCTCTTTTCCTGGTCATCCCCACCTCTTAATATATCAGTGGTGCCCACAGAAACTTGGTATCTGCAGCGGCCTTAGAGGCAAAAGCTGTACTCCCCTGCAGGGAGATGCTAGGTGGGGGGTTTTACTGGATCCTTGCCACTTGTCTGGTTCTGGTCATAATGTTCTGCTGCTGGCTAGGAACAACTGTGTCTCTCCTTAAATCAGGATTTGAAGGGAGAAGTGAAGATAAGTCAAGGATATGGGTGGGATGTGAAGATGTGGAAAGGGTTTGAGAGAAGAAGCTGAAAGTAAAGTCAGTAAGGTGGAAATCACAGAAAGATGGTGCTACTTTCTTCCTACACCAAATGCATAGGTGAAAAGTATAAATTCAGACAAAAGAACATCTGAATTCACATTCTCACTCTAACGCTAACCAGCTGAAGGACCTTGGGCAAGTTATTTTACACCTCTGTGCCTGTTTCTTGTCTGTAAAGTGGACTGTTATGCAGATTAAAAAAAAAAAAAAAAACTTGCAGCCATCGAGTCAATTCTGACTCATAGCAACCCCCACTGGATTTCTAAGGCAGTAAATCATTATGGAAGTAGATTGCCCAGTTGTCCTTCCGTGGAGGGCTGGCAAGTAGATTGCCCAGTTGTCCTTCCGTGGAGGGCTGGCAGGTTTGAACCGCCAACCTTCTGGTTAGCAGTCAAATTCCTTAGGCACCAGGCCACCAGAACTCCTTGCTGTGCAGATTAAACTGTAAGAAATATCATGTTAGATATTATTCTTACCAAAAACCTAAACCTATAGCTGTGAAGTTGATTTTTAGGAAATAAGGGTAGGCAGCTAGAAGCAGGGGATCTATACAGGTTTTTGGGGTTTTTTAATGGTTTTATGTGCTCTCAGGTGAGATGGAAGTCTTATACAGGCATACCTTGCGGGTTTTGTTCGAAAACCAAAAACCAAACTTGCTGCTGTCAAGTAGGACCCAACTCACAGTGACCCCTCCTTGGGTTTCTGAGGCTGTATCACTATGGAAGTAGACTGCCCAACCTTCCTTCTGAGGAGTGGCTGGTGGGTTTGAACTGCCAGCCTTCTGGTTAGTAGTCAAGTGCCTTAGGCACTACGCCACCAGAGCTCCTTTTTTCCAGATCACAGCAATAAAGTAAAATTGTCGCAATAAAACAAGTCACATGACTTTTTTAGTTTCCCAGTGCATATAAAAGCTATGCTTATACTGTACTGTAGTCTATTAAGTGTGCAATAATAGCATTATGGAAAAGTTTGAAATACTATGAGAATTACCAAAATGTGACACAAACACGACATGAACACCATGCTGTTGGACAAATGGTGCCAATAGACTTGCTTGACACAGGATTGCCACAGTGCTTCTATTTGTAAAAAACACAGTATCTGCAAAATGCAATTAAGTGAAGTGCAATAAAACAAGGTATGCTTGTATAAAAAACTGAGTGATTGCCCCTCAATCTCCACTTGAAGTTATACTTTCCAGGGGATGGGGCTCCCCTTTGGTTTCCATAGCCATAGGGACCCAGCAGTGATAAAGGTTAGACATGAGAAGGGACTTTTGAGGGGGCAGCCCTTGAAAAGGGAAGGGGAGCTGGCAGAGGGGGTGGAGCGCCCATTTCTATTGCTCCTGTGGACCAAGTGTTCTAGCGTGTCTGTAACCCAGGATGACCCTGCCCACTCAGGATCCCAGGGAGCAGGTATATCCTGCCGAGCATTAGAGGCTCTAAACAGCTACCCAATTCACAATGTATTAAGCAAAGTTAGAGATTTAATTAGCCGCTGGATGTTTAATTTCCTCTTTTTGATAATGTTTAAACTGGTTCCAAAACTCCAATATTGCCAGCCAATTCAGGAAGATGGAAAATTCTCCCCCACCTCAGTACCCTCTCCCCCCCCATCCCCCCATCCGGATATTGGCTCTTCTGGGGGTATCTATGCTTTATGAGACCTGGAGATAAACATTGGTGGAGTTTAAACAGGTCCAAGTCAAGAGATGAATGAATGCTCAAAGAGGGGGTTGGTAGGGAAAGGGTGTCGGTATCAGAGGACTGGGCATGGCAGGCTGGGCCACAGGCCATTCATGTTGGAGCTCCTCTAAATGGAAAGAAGGCTGAGCCCTGGCTCCCTGGAGCACAGAGCCAGAGAGCTTTGAAACTACAGCAAGAAGGATAGAGACTGAGTTTCCCAACATGGGATTAGGGAAGGAAACAAAGGACAGAATAGTGAAAGATGTGAGGGAGGGACTTGTCTCTTAGGAACGGCCATATCAGAGAAATGCTTTGACCTTTCAGTTTCCGGGCCACAAATGTTTTGGTAAAAATGTGGCCGGAGGGACAGGGCTGCTGGTGATAAAGTACTGCCCACCTCCACCCTGGGATCTGTGTCTTCAAGTTTCCCTAATCAACACCCTTCACTGGATCCATATAAGAATGCCAGGGGCTTTGGATGCTATGAAATCTTCCACCTCTCCCTCAAACTGGTCTTCCTCCCTCTACCCCACCTTCACAGCTGTGGGGCCCAGCTGCTGCCAGCTGACAGGGCAGACAGATGCTGAACTGTGTCAGTCTGTGTTTGGAACTTGGAACTTTGGTATTTTTCTTCAGACAAGAGGTGGCAGCCTGAAACTAGGACTGGCTGGCTTATCCAGGCTTCCCTGTCCATAAAATGAGAATAATTCTTACCTCATAGAATTCCTGTAGTGAATGATGAAATACCTTGTAAAGGCCAGATGCTGGTGGATGAGTTATAGGAGTGAAGAGTGTTGGCTACTCTTCTAAGCCAACCTCTCATGCAATTTCAATTCCTCTTTCTAGTTGAGGTCTAGCCTAGGGCCTGGGTACCATTCTTCTCATCTTACCCCACAGTCTCCAAGGGGGACATGTGCATATGTGTACCAGCACTTATTTTTCTCACCTCCTCCATAGCTCCAGAGCAGGACATCAACCCGAAACAGGAAATAAAACTAACAAAAAAATCAAGAACTGAAACCACCTAATTGCTCACTGCCTCTAGAAGAGATAAAGAGCAAATGAGCAGCTCTTATGAAGGGAAGGATAAAAGGGGTCACCGGGGGCTCTGCCACTGTGGAGAACAAGGACAGGGTAGGGGCTGAATCTGGAAATGATGGACACTTGGGAGAGGGTAACAGCAACTGTGCCAAAATGAAGGCAACAGGCTGATGTGATTTTGAGCAAGGCATACAAATAAGATGAAAAAGTTTTCATCTACAGAATGAAATTTGTTAGAATCCCCAATTTAGGCATTGCAACCCAACTGTCCCCTTTATCTTCATTCTTGTGTTTGTGAATATCCTGTACTTTATTCCAGAGCTGTACAGCTTCTTCCTTTGTTAGTGCCCCTTCTCTCCAATGAGACAGAAACTGCCTTTCTGGTGAGGGAGTGGAAAAGGCCCTTTTTGTAACAACAGAGGACCCTGCTTACCTCTTCCTCATCTCCCCTCAGCACACATCAAGAGAGACAGCACCTCATGGGGTTCCAGGTCTTTAATTTTCCCTGCTTGGTCTTTTTTTTTTCCTTTTTTTTTGTACAATTAAATTGGCAGAAAAATGGCTGGGACTGGTGGGCAATAGGGGTCTGTTGAAAACCCCCCAAAATTCACACTGAGGTTTCAGGTCATTGTTGTTGAAGTGAGGGGTGAGGTTAGGGTTTGTAGAGATTTCCCAACCCACCCTAGAACTTCTTTTTCTGGGGAAGAGATAAGAATAGGCACCCCCCCCATTACTGTAAATGAGAGAAGACATTGTTCCCCCTACCCCTTAAGTTCTTCAGATGTGGAGATAGAAGGCTGTGACCTCTAATTGCCTACAATCTTCTCTTAAAAATATAAAACACGTGCAGTTGGCTTTGGTACAAAAAAGAAAAAAAGCAAAACATTCTGGTCCCTGTGGGGTTATCTCCTCAACCCCTGCCCCAGCAAACCATTATGGCCACCCCAACCTCTATTCCATCAAGTCTAGGAAGCCAGGTTATCTCCCTGGAGTTTCCACAGAAGATGGAGAGAAAGAACAGCAGTAAGAGGTTGAGGGGAGACAGGGGAGGGGCATGGCCCTGCCCACAGCCCTTCTTAAAGGGGCAGTAGCGTCCTGTAGCTGCAGCCTCCCCTCATAGATATGTGCTGTTTGTGGGGAGGGATGTTAGGGCTAGAACACAGCAGCTGCATGGTTATGCCCAAATATACCCCAGTAGTGTTAAAGGACAAGGCCTCCTGATCCCTATGGCTTGGTTCCCATGTCCCTGGTCCTTTAAATCTCCCCTCCCCCCCCCATAACTAATAATAAATAAATAAATTTTCCTAAAGTAGGGGAGGAAGGCATGAAAAATTGGCATCTGTGGTGTTGCTTTTGGATGCCACCAGGGGGCACTGTGGCCTAACTCCCCCAGCTTCCTAAATGGCCCCAGGTATCCAAGGATCCCAAGAGCTGGCAAGGACAATGAGCAGTTTTTTCAAATGCTCCCTCACCATTGGCAGATTGGAGTTCCCAAGGTTTGGCCCCCTCCGTAATGTTCTTCATGGGGGCACAGGGCAGGGGGAAGGGCCCCCTTAACTCTCCGATGCTATAGGCTCCCCGTCGCGGCTCTCTGTCTCCTCTGGGATGTCCTGCATTCGGGTGAAATCTGAAGGGGAACACAGCAAAGCCAGTGAGTGAGCAGAGGCTCCTGTGAGGAAATGCAGCCCTACCCTCATGCCCACACCTGTAGGCTGAGGAGCCTCAGAAGTGTGGAGGGATGCAAGGGTCAGTGAGTCCTTGGATGAGGGAAAAGCCTGTCAACAATGTAATCAATGTCCTTACACCTAGGTACTTTGTACACTTTATAAGTATACCAAGATATAATATGATTAGTAAAATACACACTATTTTAAGGCTATTATATAAAGTTATAGTAGCTTTCAGTTAATCCTGTACCGTATTTCCTAAATCAAGAATAAGAAGTTGAAAGTCTGAAATTTTACTTTAAAAATGGATTTCTGCTTGAAAAGGTTGTGAATCACCAACCTACTGGGGGAGAAGAGGCTCCTATACTTTGTTAGAGTTCTACCACATCAGACAAAATCTGTGCCCCTCCCAAGAATTGCTGTATTTAGGACCATAGTTTTAGGGGACATCTAGGTCAACTGGCATAATATAGTCCCTAAAGATAATGATGTTCTACATTCTACTTTGCTGAGTAGTGACTAGGGTCTTAAAAGCTTGTGAGTGGTCATCTAAGATACAACCATTAATCTCTTCCCATTCGGAGCAAAAGAGTGAAGAAAATCAGAGATTCAAGCAAACAGTCTAAAGGACTAAAGGACCAGGTGAACCTCAGCCTCCACGAGCCTCAGACCAGAAGAAACAGATGGTGCCCAGCTACTACCGCTGACCACTCTGTTCGGGATCACAACAGAAGGGCCTGAACAGAGTGGGAGAAAAATGTAGAACAAAACTCGAAATCGTAAAGAAAACCAAACTTACTGGTCTGACAGAGACTGGTAGAACTCCTCAGACTATGGCCCTTAGACACCCTTCAAATCTGGAACTGAACCCACACCCCAGGGGTCAACTTTCAGTCAAACAATAGATAGGCCTATAAAGTGAACAATAACATCAATGAGGAATGTGCTCCTCAGGATAACCAACCATGAGACCAAAAGGGCAGCATGTACCCAAAGACAAAGTTCAGAAGTAGGAAGGGACAGAAAAGATGGGCTAGTGGAAATGAGGCACCCAGGGAAGAAGTGGGAAAAGTGCTGTACACCACTGAAGGGATTGCAACTAATGTCATGAAACAAAATGTGTATACTTTGCAAAAAAAAAAAAAAGTTACTGTAGACTTCAGCAGTCCACAAAGGCCTATCCTAAATGTCCCATGCTCCAGGACACATAGGACCTATACCTAACCTTTATTCCATCTCACCACCAAGGCCTCACCTCGTGGACTATGGGGTGGAGACAGGCGGCTGCTACCTTCCTCTTCGCTGCCGGTGTCGGGGTCACTGCTGTCTTGCAGCCGTTCCTCAGGACTGCCCAGCTCCTGCCTCTCTCGGTCCTCAAAGGGCCGATGGATGGAGCGAATAGTCACAGGCAGATCGAGGCGGTCGTGGCCTCGGCTGGGCTGTGGACAATGGGTAAGAGAAGCAGCAGGCCAGGAGTGAGCAGGATGAAGACTGCTCATTGGAGGCAGTAGGCCCTGCTGAGTCCCAAGACTTCTCTTTGCAAAGGACTCACCAAACATCCTCACTTTGGATCCATCAACTGATTTCATTTAAAGCTACTGCCCCAATTATTACTTTTCAATGCTCACCCTTGCCCCCATCTAAATTTAAATAAATTTTGATAGCCTAATATCCTTCAAAGGAGCTCTGGTGGTGTAGTGGTTAAGGCATTTGGCTGCTAAGCAAAAGGTTGGTGGTTCGATCCCATCAGATGCTCCGCAAAGAAAGATAAAGCAGTCTGTTTCCATAATGACCTACAGCCTTGGAAACCCAATGGGGTCTCTATGAGTCGTAATCAGCTCAACAGTAGTGTTGTTGTTGTTGTTTGCCATCAAGTCAGCCCTGACTCATAGCGACCCCTCCTTGGGTTTCCGAGGCAGTATCACTACGGAAGTAGGAATGCCCAACCTTCCTTCTGAGGAGTGGCAGTGGGTTTGAACCACCAGCCTTCTGGTTAGCAGTCAAGTGCCTTAGGCACTAGTGAGTGAGTGAATATCCTTCAAGTCTGTTCCCTGATTTCGTTTGGGCTCAAGTCCCTAACAGTCCATCACTTTTTGGCTTTCTCATGGAAAAAATTTCTTATGTCCACCCCAGGTTAATTCACTATTCCAAACTTCTTTACCTGTGGGGGAGTGAAGCTTAAGTATAGGGCATCCCCTGCAGGAAGGCTACGCCGCCGAGGATCCAGAGACCTGCGGGCCCAGGGGGCCTCAGCTGGGAGTGGTTCCGTCTGGCCCAAGGCAGCCAGATGTCTGCGGGCCTCTTCAGCCTCCCGCTCCAGCACAGCCCGCGCCTGCTCACTCTCCCGGAGCCGGGCTTCTAGACTGCCAGCCTCTGTCGCCCGCTCCTCGCCTAACCGCCGGCAGCGACGCAGCTCCTCCTGCAGCAGTGCATGTTGCCGCTGCAGTAATGCCAGTTCTGTGGCCTGCTTTTCAGGAGCAACAGGAGCAGCCCCAGCTCTGCCAGCCTCCCCATCCCGAGAGTTGGCTCTGGATAGCTTCTCCCGCCGCTCAGGGCCCTCAGGGAACCGGGCTTCCATCAAAGTGTCCTGCTGAGCCACAGCCGCCTGGGGGTGAAATTGCGGGGGGGGGCGGGGGGGAGACGACAGATGGGTGTATTACCCTCTCCATTCTTTCCTGCTAAGGTGCTCTGGTGGTGCAATAGTTAAACAGCTCAGCTGCCAACTGAAAGATCAGTGTTCAAACCCACTAGCAGCTCTATGGGAGAAAGATGTGGCAGTCTGCTTCCATAAGGATTACAGCCTTGGAAACCCTATGGGGCAGTTCTACTCTGTCCTATAATGTGGCTGTGAGTTGGAATCCACTCAAAGCAACTGGCTTTGGGTTGGTTTTTTTTTTTTTTTCCTTTCTTCTATTCCTCACCCTTACCCCCAGGCCAAGGCCACTATTCCTGAGGCTGGGGGATGCTTAGAAAGGTCTGTTAGGATGGCTCTACCCCTCCTAAATGGGCATCTCCAGCCTGGGTCTTCCCCCTTGCCCATGCCCCATAGTGGCCCCTCCCCTCACTGACCTGTAGGCCATGCAGAAGTCCATAGAGATTAACCAATCGCTGTAACACCTCCTGAGGACAGAGGAGAAGGTGGGAACAGGGCCCAAGCTTCAAGACGAGATAACTGCCCAGAAGTTGAATAGATGTGGGTGTGGGGACAAGAGAACTACAGATACTGGTGTAGACTCATCCCCACACCACCCCAAATTTGGCCCCATTTCTCAGGCTGAGCAGACCCTCCCTTAGGCCACCTATACCATCAAATTCCCATCTCACCTCCTGAGGAGATCTCAGCTGATTTCCATTTCGATCCTGCGGAAATGGGCAAGGATGGGGAGTCAGCAGGCACACAGGCCCTAGTGCCTGAAATGACATCTGTGTGCAAGTCTATGGGCCAGCTGTCCCTGTCCCACTTTTCCACCCTCTAGCCAAGGCCTGGAACCTTTTGATGACCCACCTTCTGGCTGGAGTCTGAGTCAGCTCTGCAGAGCTCAATGGAGCCATTGAAGGTTCTGGCCTCGCCATCTGTACAGCAGGAGAAAAGGGAGGGCCAAGCTCACTTCTCCAGGGCCCTGTCACCACTCAATCCCTGGTACCACACCATTCTCTTTAGCCCTGCCCGCCCACTCCCTTGGTTCTCTGCCCTGGCACTCACTGGCAGTGACCCCAGGACTCGTGTTACCACTGCTGTCTGGTTCCATGGGCAGGGCTGGTTCCCGGGGTGTCGAGAGAAGCTCTACTCCAGGCCCCACTAGCAGGTCTTTCAGGCCTTCCACTGAGAAGAAAGAGGAGGAAGTGAGCAGCATAGGGCCCTATGGGGAGTGGGAAGGGATGCCCTTCACCCAATACACATAGACAGTCAAGTATCCAGGGGACAGCCCCCTGCCCAGGGACTGGGGTCTCATCCACACAACCACGAGCTATAGGTCAGTAAAGGTGTGTAAAGGACATTATGAGATGTGACAAACAGTAGCAAAGACTGTGCCTATTTCCTTACCATCCCCAGCACCTGGCAGTGTCTGGTTCAGCACAGGTATTTGAGGGTGTTCATGGACTATGGTGTTGACACTTCCCTGGTCTGTGTGTCTCATATGCACATTCTATAATGACGAGTGGACAGGGCTGACCCCTGGGAGCTCCCTCACCTTCACGGATAGCATCCTGCAGTAGTCGCTCTCCACGAGGGGACTCCAGGGACTCGGAGCGGAAAAGGCCCCTGGGCAGAGTGGGCAGGGGCATCCCACTGCTGCCATCCTCTTCAGCCTGGAAATGGGTCATCTCAGCAAACAGCCCGACCTTCTCTTGCAGCAGCTCCACCAATGCCCGATCTTTCTGCTGCAGCTCCACTGCAAATAAGGAACTGATGAGTGCATAGGAGCCAGGGCTGGGCAGAGTGACAACACTAAATTTTCTGGGGGGGATGGGGGAGGCATTTACAAAGAAGAAATAAAATATCTTTTTTTTTTTTTTTTTTAGGGAAAAGTAATACATACACTTTTGTTTAAAAAAAAAAAAAGTAAAAAAGGTTTATTATAGGGATTGTAGCCAGTCCTCCAGATTTCATTCTTCCTTTATTCTTTTAATTAGAGACTGCCTCTAAATTACATCTGGGGACATGGCTGCCCGGTTAAAGACTACATTTCCCAGCCTGCCTTGTAGCTTTAGATTGCTACATGACTAAATTTTGGCCAATGAATGTGTCTTCCAGATCTACACTTAAAAGAAATGGTATAAATCCCCCTGTTCCTTTACTTCTCCCTGGTAGCTGGGATGCAGATCTGAGAGTGAGCACTGGAGTAGTAGCAACTTTGGACCCAGAAATGGAAGCTTCATGCTGAAGATGGCAGAGTTGCACTACTACCCTGCACTGCTCACCTCTGGACTGTGAAATGGAGAAAAACAATCCTCTACCTTATTTAAGCAACTGATTTTTTGTTGGTCTTTTTGTATAGCAGTTAGATCATACCCTTTTACAAGACTCTATAGTGAAAGAGTAACTCTCCTAACTGGTCTTCATAGGTGCACTCCCCAGAGGCCACCAGAAATTACATAATTACATAATTATCTTTCTAGATACAAAGTCTTTCTCTCTCTCTCTCTCTCACACACACACACACACACACACACATACCCCCCACATATCCATCCCCATTACTTTATCTCAAACCTTGCTTTTTTCACTTAAAAATGTATTTTGGTTATGAATCGGTATCAGTCTCCACAGAGCCATCTCATTCTTTATAACAGTTGCATGGTATTCCATTGTGTGGCTGTACTATAAATCATTTAACAAACTCACTGTGGTTGGACTTACTCTTGATTCGCCGCAGGTAAGCCTCATCCTCTGTCTCAATCAGGGGGAAGTCCTCCCTGGATGGGCATCTGAGGGGATAACAGGTTGGGTGGGGTTGGAAGGAGGTCACTAGATCAGGAAGTGGCTTCCCATGAATTTCCCAAGGCTTCTGTTGTATGCATCCCTCTTCTGGTAAGACCTATCAGCTCCAACTCCTGACTTCTTTCATATTTGACCTTCTCTTCTCTGAGCACTGATGCTCTGTATTTACTGGTATGTTACTCTCTGTGGTAGTTAAGGTTATGTGTCAACTTGGCTGGGCCTGGTTTTGAGTGGCTGGGCAGCTGATGTAGTTATTCCCCACGATGAGACTGATAATAAGCTCCATGGTGGAATCTACTGTGATTTGCTGAGTAGCTGCCTTAGGGATGTGGTCTGCTTCCAGTATGTAAGAAGCAGCTTTGAGAAAGCTCTTGAGCTTCTTGGCACACTTGGACCCTGCACACAGCCGAATCTTCATTCAGCAGCCTGCCACATTCCCTGCCAATCTTGGGACTGTTTCTGGATTGAACTAGTGGCCTGCTGTGTTGCTTAATAATCTTGGGACTGTGCCATTTTATTTGTCGACCTTGGGTTTATCAGCCTTAGCAGCCAGCAGCTGCATGAGTTAAGAAAAGCCTCCAGCTTCAGTGGGCCGGAAGCAAGAAGCAGAGCTGACGCCCAGGGTTGAGGGGCTTTCACCCAGCCCCTAGAGCTGCCACTCTGAACTCAGACTTCTAGCCTCCTAAACTGTAAGAGAATAAACTCCTGTTCGTTAAAGTCATCCATTTGTGGTACTTTCTGTTATAGCAGCACTAGAGAACCAAAACACTATCCAAGCCACCAGGAGAGGCTACACAACATAGAGAGACAAATAGAAGCTTTAGCATCAAGAAAAACCAAACCCATTGCCATGAAGTTGATTCTGACTCATAGTGACCCTATAGGACAGGGTAGAACTGCCCCATGGGGTTTCCAAGGCCATAAATCTTTATGGAAGCAGGCTGCCTCATCTTTCTCCAGCAAAGTAGCTGGTGGGTTCAAGTCACCAACCTTTTGGTTAGCAGTCAAGCGTTTAACCACTGAGTTAAAATCCTGTCTCCACTATTTACACCAGGTGGTAACCTCTCTATTTCTTCAACTGAAAAATGGGAATATTTTCTTCACAGGTTTTGTTAGGATTAAATGCAGTAATATAATAGTGCTTTGAACACAGCAGAAGCTCAATACATTAACTACTATAAATGGTATTAGTTCTAATCTTCACAACTATAAATATTAACACTAAAATATTAATACTAAAGACCATCTACTGTCAACGGAAAGGTATTTTGGATTGTTTTCCTAGAATAGGCACTTTCAGACTTTTGAACGTGTTTCTGAAAAATTTATTCAAACATCTAAATCGCAGAAGTTTTAAAAAAAAAAGTTTTACATCTTATAAAGGAGAATCTATTCCCTAAAAGCTAAAAATATAACCCTAAATAGAATTTATTCCTTAAGCATAATCTTCAGCAATCCATTTTCATGTGCTTTACTAGACTTTTTCTTCCCAGCATAATTAGATATACAGTTGACTGCCTCAAATCTAATGTGCACCCAACAGAAGCCAAAGATTTGTGGCTTTAGTCACTTAATGATTTCCTTCTTGCCTCTATTGTATTGAGTTTGTTTGTGAGACTTGTGCTTCTTATCTCTACTATCATTATGCTCCTTTCATTATCCCCTTTCTCATGCATTTTTAGAAAATAAAGGTAAAATGCAATACAACCCAAGTAATAGCTCACTGCCTACAGACCAAGGAGCCCTGGCAATGCAATCATTAAGTGCTCAGCTGCTAACCAAAAGGTCAGCAGTTCAAACCCATCAGCCATTCCACAAAAGATGTGGCAGTCTGCTTCCGTAAAGGTCACAGCCTAGGAAACCCTATGAAGGTGTTCCACCTTGTCAGAACTGACTCTACACCAATGGATTTTTTAGATTTGCCTACAGACCAAGATGCTATTCTGGCTGAAACTACTGTTAGCTGGCAAGTATACCACCACGTGACAGCTCAAAGTATTCCATTGCTTGTCAGGGTGTTAAGATATGAACACAGACGAGACCTTTCCTGCTGTGGACCATCTCATCCCTGGCCCAGCCTCTGCCTCCACCTCTTAAGGCTAGGTTCTGTTCATAAGGAGCACAGTGGCCTGGGACTTGATGTTGCAGACACCCTGAGGCCACACACACATGCAGGCTGCAGCCACACACTCACACGCGCACACTCTGCTGAATGACGCGGATCCAGGTGCTCCGGTCATCACGGGATGCTGTGTGGACCTCATACATCTCAGGCGGGGCTGCGCTGATCAGAAACATCCCTTTCTCCTGGTTGGCGATGTCACGGACGATTAGATTCTGCAGTGAGACCACCGAGGGCTTGTCCTGTCAGTCAGGGAAAAGGAAGGATTAAGCCTTGGAATCCTGACTCTCAGATATTTTGGGTCTTCAAATCTTCTGGAAAGCCCAAGGTATTAAAGAGTCAACTGAAGATAGGAGTTTAGAGTCCAGGCGTTGGAGCCAGCCTGAGAGGACTTAGAAACATGTATGCCTCTTGACAAATTATTTAACTTTAAACTCCACTTTCTTCATAGACAAAATGAGGATAACAGACCTTCCTCATAGGTATAAAAGTGCCTATACACGGTAATAATACTTGTTAGCTATTCCTATTATTAAGAGGAGCTCTGGTAGCATAGTGGCTAAGGCACTTGACTGCTAACCAGAAGGCTGGCGGTTCAAATCCACCAGCCACTCCTCAGAAGGAAGATGGGGCAATCTACTTCCGTAGTGATACTGCCTTGGAAACCCAAGTAGGGGTCACTATGAGTTGGGTCTGACTCGATGGCACATAATAACAACAACATTATTAAGAGTTACAATAGCTGTTTGACACTGAAGGATTTCAGGGTTCTTTTAGGCTTGGGTAGGAAAACAAGAAGGGCCTGAAACACTTGTCTGTGTGGAGAAAGAAAGGAAAAGCAGGGAGGGTCTCACCAGGGCAGGAAAGATGTACTTCTGGTCCTTCTCTTGGAGAAACACTAGCACATCTGTCATCAGCAGCATCAGCACATCTGGCAGGCAGGCAAAGACAGAACAGTCAGCACTAGAGGGTTTGAGCAGCTGTGTTTTCCTCTTAGAGACCAGACTACCCCATCAGGAATCATCCCTCCTGATTCCTCTCTTCCTGGCCTCTCTGCCCTCTGACTGCCTTCTCCAGCTTTTCAGATCTCCCAGTGCCCCATGTGTTATCAGATAAAGCAGGTTTTTAGTCCAGAAGGGGCCTCAAGGGATCACTGAATGCTTTTGGAAAAACTCTCCTTACCCTACTAATGCAGGTTTCTTAACCTGGAGTCTAGAGACTCCTAGGATATCCACTGCTGGGCTTCAGGGGCACTGTAAAGTTGCATAACTGATTTTATGTATTAATATAACACATGTGCATTTTTCCAGTAGAAAGGGTCCAGAATTTTTGTGAGAGTCATAAAGGATTCCCAGAGCAGAAGAACCAACCCTTTTTCAGCCTTTAAGCTCCATGTCTAACTAATACCTTCTCAATAAAACCAAACCTACTGCCGTTGACTCAGTTCCAACTCAGAGAGACCCCACAGGATGGAGTAGAACTCCTTCATAGGGTTTTCAAGGCTGTCAATCTTTACGAGAGCAGACTCCCTCATGAAGCGGCTAATGGGTTGGAACCACTGACCTTTTAGTTAGCAGCTTTAACCATTATGCCACCAGAGCTCTTTTTGGGTATCTGATCTAAATTGCCCCTGCCCCAACATATTCCTATTTCTCACTTTATGGCTGGTAGGGAGAAAGAAAGTTGGTTTCCTTCCTCTAAAGAAATGAAAGACCCTCACTCAGAAACCTCTCCATCAGCCCCACCAGGCCCCTCCTTCCTTTCCTCTCTGCCCCACCCTATGGGGTGGAGTCCTGTACTTTTTAGGACCAAGGGAGAAAACAAAGGTCAATTCCATAAAATTTGGATGTCACAGTCAAGAAAACACACTCACCCTTTGCCCTTGGAGATCTTCCTCAACTGTGGGCACCCAGAAGGGGAGGGCTTTTGCTAAATGCTTCAGAAATAAAGCTCTCCAGCCTTGCTATTTTTAACCCCCCATGGTTTATATTCTTAGCTGCTGCGTGGGAGGGATGGGAAGGAGAGAAAGGGATGAAGGAGAAAGACTGGTGAAGACTGACAATATCCAAGCCTGTGGATTGGGGTTGGCATGACAGGGGGACAGAGACTTGGGCTGACACTGGCCTCAGATAGCTGTTTACTTTTGTCCCTTACTCCTTACCCCAAAGCTTGGGTCTTCTCTTCTCTTGCCTTGATTTAGATAGGAAAGACTTGGCTGATACAGAAAAATTCTGGGAATAGGGCCTGGAAAAGCCCATCCCTACCCCCCACATCCTCTTTTCTTTTCTCTCACCTCTGCCCTGCCCATCCTTCCTGAGCTCTGGCCTCTCCACTGGACTTGCCCTACCCACATTCCCAAGCTCCTGCCCTTTCCCCAGGCCTGGCAGCTGGGATTCCAGTTGGTGACTCAACTGCCCTGATCTTCTTCTGCTTTAGGAGTTTCTCTGGCTTCCTCAATAAACTGTGGATTCAAGGACCAAAGAAATGAATACATACTGATAAGGAAGTCCCTGCTATGATCCATGAACCTGCGGATGGTGCAAACGGTTAATACATTCACTACTAACTGAAAGTCCACCCAAAAATGCCTTGGAAACAAGGTCTGGCAATCTACTGCTGAAAAATTAGCCACTGAAAACCTTATGGAGTGCAGTTCTACTCTGACCCACATGGAGTGGCCAGGCATCAGAATCAACTCCATGGCAACTGGTTTCTCGGTACTGTGCAAGAATTTAACCCAGAATTTAGACTTTTGCTGCAACAGAGACCACATTTTTTTTTTTTTTTTCCACACTAGGTCTCACCCTGGGTAAAGAACTGCAGAAAGAGAGGTCACAGAGCTGGATCCTTCTCTCTCCCCATATCTGACTCTAAACACCACTGACCTTTGAAGCGCCCGGTTGCCGTTTTCCACAGCAGGCAGCCATCATGGAGGAGCTTGCGCCGCAGAAGCTCCTCTCGGCCAAAGGGACCCTTGCCAGGCACTGGGGCCTGGGCACGGGGATCCATGCGGTTGTAGATCTCCTGCAGGCGGGCCCCCTTCTCCAGCTCATGCACATCCTGGTCCACATTGGACAGCAACTCCTTCACCAGCCCCAGTGCTGTCGTCAGATCCTGGCGCTCCTCCTCAATCCCTGGCACCAGAGGGTTGGCATGGAAGAGGTTCAGCCAGCTCCATTCCAGCCATAATTCCCATCATGCCTCCATTCCACCTCCAAAGGTTGCCCAGGACCTCACATCTATCCCAGGCTGACCCTATGCCTTCCCTTGGTCATTCTAAGCTTTTCCTTGCCCCAGCCACCTCCCTCCCTGCATCCTCCTACTCACCATGGGAATGCTGCAGGATCCGGTTGATGAGCACCGGGTACTTGGTGATGCGTTGAGTCACCAGCAGGATGCACTCTTGTACCCCATGCCGCTTCAGCACGGCCGAGCGAGTCACCTTCTACAAGGGAAGAGGCAGGGCTCAGGGACAGTGTGTCCAGGGCAAGTGGGCAAGAGCACTGGACTCAAAGCCCAAATTCTGTGCCAGCCTTTCCTTTGCCAGTTGCCTCACACTAGTCTCAGTGATTACATCTGAAATGCGGGGATAACACCACCACAGGTCTGTAGTGTGGACCAACCAATGCAAGGCAGTAAAAGTAGAGGGGAAACTACTATAAAGTGCTCTACCAATATGAGGGGCTGTTGTTGACATGATCATCCATGAATAGGTACACAAGGGTCAGTGAACTGTTAAACTGCATCCCTGACCTCTACATGGAGGCAGAACATACACCACCCCCAGAATGAGGAGGCTGGGCTTGGGCCATTAGAGAAGTGGTCCTGGAGTGATATGCTCACCCGGATGAACTGCTGGAAGCGTTTGTCTCGTGCATACAGCTCCTTATAGAGTTTTAAGGCCTTGGTGTGGCGGCTGCAGAACTCTGAGTAGGTCTTACGCATCTGCTCTGCGCTGGAGCCTGAGAACTAGAAGTTAGGGCAACAAGGCTGGATCAGTATATCCCCTGAAGCCACACCCTACTCCCTGGACACACCCCTGGCCTCCTGCCAAGCAAGCTCCTGCCTCTCCAGCGCTCCTTGGTTCCCCACCACCCACTAGAGCTTAGAGGCAAGAAAGGCCCACTGCAGTCACACCTCCTTCCACAGGTCCTGGCTTTTCCCACCTGACTAATGAGCAGGTCTCCCAAGCGATGGATGACAAAGTTCCGGGTGCTGCCAGGGCACAGAGCTTGCCGGCGGCGTTCTATCAGCTGGCTGAGGAAGCGTGTGTGGATGTCACTGAGCTCATCCACACAGGGGAACAAGCCCTGGACCACGCCTGGCTCCAGCTGCAGCTCTTCCAGCATCCCCGTGCGGAAGAGGCGGGTCATGATCTTCAGCGTCCGTACATGGTGTAGCTCCGTCTGGATTAGCTCTGTGTGGCAATGGGACATTTGGCCTCTACCTTGGCTTAGCCACCACTGGTTAAGGCCCTAGGCTAGGGCTATCAGCACTCAGATGAGGTTTCCAAGCTCCCTTCCAGATGAACATTCTGCACTATTATTATCTCAAATCATTTTCTAATAATTTCTTTTCCTTATGTCTTGCCACCACACACTAAGCTATTTTGGGGCTGGAACCATGTGTCCTGTACATATATAGGTTTTCCCCAGCCCCCAGCATGGTGTTAGGCATGGAACAGGCACAGAGTAAAGGCTGAGGATTGAGCTGAAGGAAGGGACAAAGATGGGGCCTTGCAGAGCAACAGCCCAAAAGGTGGGGGCCCAGTGGGTAAGTGGTGAGAGCCAGGCAGGGTTTTGAGGCCAATAGGATGTGATGGACAGGGTCCTGAGAGGTGAGGCCTGGCAGAAGGAAGGACATAGATAATCAGGACCTGGTGAAAGAAGAGGAAGACTAGAGGTGGGCTTCCTGGCTCACCATAGATGACATCCTGCTGCTTCATCACCTCCTTTTTGTGCTGCTGCAGGAAGCTACTATCCACAGCAAGGCTCCAGGAGTCAGCCGCAAAGTCCTTCTCATCCATCTCAAAGTCACTCATTAGCTCATTGTAGATCACCTCTGCACCTGAACATTGGTGGGAGAAGCAACTCAAAGCCAAGTTCTCTTCCTTAGGTCACGGGTCATGCACCAGATCCGTTTCCAGGCCTCGCCCCACCAACACCCTTCCCCAGCCCTCTCCAGCTTCCCCAGGTCCCACTCAGGCCTAGACATGCTCACCTTCATCAATGAGGGACTCCACCGACAGGGTTCTGTTCCGCATGTTGAGGGAGTCTGTGGACTGTGAGAGGATCCGGCGCAGGCCCAGGGGGGATTCATCATTGAAATGTCTGAAGGAAATGGAGGCAATCTGCATCGTCCCCTACCCAGTCAAGAGAACCCCACCCAGGTGGGGAGAACCTAGGCCGGGATATGAAAGGGAGTCATCCTAAGCTCTCCTTACCTGTCTGTTTACAATTCTGAACTCAGGGGTGGAAAAACACCTCTCAGACCCCTGGGCCCACTGCCACACTCTCTGCCTACCTGGTTTCCTCCCTCCCCAAAGAGAGGCTCACCCAGCAATGTTGGTGGTAGAAACACTCTTGGATAAAGACAAGGAGGAGCGGCCACGGCGGGAGCCAAGGAGGGACTGCCGGAAGCTGTCGGAGGGGTAGATAGCAGAGGTAGGCCGCTCCCGGGTTGTTGCTGTGGGAGACAGGAGTCATGGAAAGGATACCAAGCAGGCTAATGCCAAATGCTAGTGTCTTCTCAGAATGCTGGTACCCATTCTTCAATGGGAAGTGAGGATCCTCTCCTATACTTAGGCCCCCACCATAGTGGAAAAAAGGTGGTAATAATGATAATCATATAGCTACTTCACACTTGTACAATATTTTTAACGTTTACAGAGAACTTTTACTTGTCTTATCTCTTCCCCTGCAGCAAGCCTGTGAGCAAACTGAAGCTCACAAAAGTTAAGAGACTTGTCCAGGGTGACTCAGCTAACCACCAACAGGGTCTAGGCCTCTAGTCCTTTTGAGTAAGAACCTTGTACTTTCCGTTACATCAAAGCTGAACTGACACTTAACAGCTGCTGTCAACACTCCCAGAACACAATGTGAATAACTGATAATAACATGCGGCGTTTGGCCAGGCCAGATGACCAGCTGCCCAAACCCTCAGCCCTACTCAGACACTCCTGGTCTTGCTTCTCAGCCCAGGAATCTGGACCATCCCTTAAGGTTCCCACCTCTTCCTTCTAATTGAGGGCAGAAGGTGTTGTGCCTGGGAACAGCCTCATGGGGGCAGCAGAGGTTATGGGCTAAGTGGCCTGGGGTCCAGGGTCCCAAGGGAGTTCCTCCACTCCCCTACTACTACTCACTCTTACAGCGAAGTGAGACAGACTGCAAGGCAGTGTTGTTCTTCAGCAAGGCAGCTTTCTGTTGCTGTGAGACAGAGAGCAAGAGAGATAACAGAAACAGTTGACACTGGAGGGTTACCCCATATATACGTGGCAGATGCTGAAGCTGGGCACCTGGCCCCATTGGGAGAAAGCTGGCACTGAAGTTAATGGCCTCACGGTGGCTGAGCCCAGTGTTGGGGAGATGTGTTTACAGCAGTAGGCCTGGCCTACATGGGGCCTAAGGCCTGGGGTTGGGGTCTGGGCTCCCCCATAAGTGGGGCCAGAGGTTGAGGAACACAGATAGGGAATAAAAAGGCTTGTGGGTACCACACACTCACTACCCTCTCCCCCAGCCCTCTGCCCTCCCTGCCGTCTCACCTTCTGCTTGACCTTGGTACAGTTGGCGAGGGTGTCTTTACAGCGGTTGTGGATAGTCACATTGCAGGCTGGGAGGGTGGGGTAGAGAGGGTGAAGGGAGGGCCGGGTGGTACAGGAGGGGACACACCCACATGCAGATATCCATCTCCTGGCCACACAGTCCTCAGAGACTCCCTGCTCCCCCCTTCCCAGGCTTCTTGGCCATTACCACACCCCAGTTCTTCCTCCTCCCACCTCCCCCTTCCTCCAAGCAGAAAATAAAGAAAGGGTACAGGTGCTGAATGCAATTAACCAATCAGGAAGGGTGGGCAATCCTGAGCCAAAGATGCCTTGAGGGATGGATGGGATAGAGGGAAGAAGAGGTTACTGGCTGCCAGAGATGGGCTGAAGAAGCAGAGTGGCTGGGAATAGCACCCAGAAGAGAGGCCCCCTCCCACAGAACAGTAGGTGGTACAGGGGCAGCTGGGATGAGATGAGGGCAGAGCAGGGATATGATCATTTCTTGAGCACCTAGCAAATTTTCCACTTTCACTTAATCCTAACAACTTTGAGATAGATTCGATTATCCCCCTTACTGATGAGAAACCTATCCTGGAGAGACTAAGCCAGCTGCCAAAGACCACACAGCTAGTGGTAGAGCTGGGATTTGAACTCAGGCCTGCCTATATCCAAAGACCATGCTTCTTCCATTGCTCAACACAACATGCTCTTGATTTCTGGCTCGGCCTAAGCAGCTCAAAGGCTGAAGGATCTAGTGGCAGAGTAGAGAGGTCCATGCCCTGCTCCTACAAGCCTGCTTGCCTCTGCAACTGCTCAGCTCTGCCTGCTAGACTCCAGCCAGTCAGCCTTCTCCCTTCCAGGCCCGGGGAGTCCTCCTGTTCCCCAACTCAGGCAAACCCACAGCTCCCACACTCCATCTGCTACTCCTCCCTCCCCCACTCCACCTTGCCATGGGGTAGGAGAGTGGAGAGGAAAGGAGGAATAGCCAAGTCTGTACACTAGAACCATGGGCTGTCCCCTTCCCCATATGCCCTCAGCCTTAGGCCCTCTCCACTTCCCCTCCCCCGTCCAACAACACCGGAAACTCTGCTAACTCCTTCAGACAATACCCAGCACCAGGCTCACTTCCACAAATACAAGGCAAGCAGGGTGGGGCAGAGGGAGGCAGGCAGAAATGGGGGCTATGGCTGCTCCCCACCCCCCCGGAGCTCCTTTCTCTATCCCCACCACCCAGTGTCTCTGGATCGAACCTCCGCTTTCCACCTGCTCTCAAAATAGCGCTGCCCGCCTCCCCTGTTCCCCTGGCAACAAGCTTCCGGATTGGGGATTTTGTTAGGTCTCTACAGGGACCTAGATTGGGGTTCCCCTCTTCATCCTCATAACTCTAAATTAAGCAGTAAGGAAGTAGGGATACTCCACTTGTTCTTTCTGGGGTTCCTTCCCCAAGTTCCGCAGGGATTTGGAGGCTGGAGTTCTGTCCTGCTGCTCAGCAGCAGGTCATAATACCTTTAATCCTGCTCTAATCATAAGCATCTCTGCCATAAATTCAGGAGGAACTCAGGGGTGAAAGAGGGGCAGGAGCTCCCAATACAGGCATCTATATGCATTCCCTGCTTATATTCCTTAAATACAGGGCTACCCTCAGATGTGAGTGAAGGTCAAGAGTCTCCCCCTTCCTTTCCCCAAACATACATTCTCACACACACACACACACACACTCTCTCACTCCCTCTCTCTCCTGCTGTATTCCCTCTTTCTCACTGTGTAGTCAGACTAGAAATTTGAGAGAGGGTCCTAATTCCAACCTCTGCTTCAAACAGGCTCCACTTCCAGTCACTAGAAAAGAAGGGGCAAGAGGACCCTGAAGTGCTGAATGTCCAGTTCTCTCCAGGAAGATGGGCAGAACCAGCTGCAAGGCTGGCAGTTTTCCGATGGCTTCTCCCCCCCACCTCATACACTCACATACAACATTCCTGCTCCCATCAGTTCCACTAACCCTTAGCAGCTGTTGTGGGAGCCAAGGGGATACCCAGTAGAGGACAGCTGCAAGGGGGAGTCATCCCAGCCTCCCCTCCTCCATATTCCCAGATAGTCTTTCCTGCTTATGCCACCCTTTTCTGCCATATTCCAACAGCCACCACCCCTCAGCATGAGGAAGGGGAGCAAGGGATCAAGCACCTGGCCTTGGCACTGGGGCCCAGCTGGGACTCAAGAGAGGAAAGCGATCCATACAGATCCAGGGTAGAAAGGACAGATGGAAAGATTAAGGTCAGTGAGTACCGAGTCAGAATGACATTCAGGGTCCAAACAACTTACTTGGGCAGATGAGGGCTTCCTTGGCCGTGATGCTCTTGTTACAGGCATAGCACATGGTCATGCCCGAAACTGAGATGGTGGTGAAGAGGTGCCCGTTGGTATAGCGGGCATCCTTGGCTTCCTTCATCTTCTCCTTTTCCCGGGTCTGTGGAAGGGGTGAGAGAGACAGGAAGTGAGGCTGGATGATGCCAGCTTAACTGAGGAGCCCAGAGAGACACAGGCTGAGGGCAGAGGCAAGGGAGAAATGCCACAAGCAAAGCCTGCTGCAGAATGTCTGAGACGGTTGTCCAGGAGTGACCAAGCCAGCTCTGGGGCGGCCAGCCCTGAGGGGTTCTGGGTCCCTGACCTACCTGGCCCCTGCGGCTGGGCTGCCTCCTATTGCCGCTCATCTCCCTGGCTCTAGACCTCGGCGTCCTCACTCTACCTCCCAGCCCTAGCTCTGCTCGCCCCCGAGCTGCTGTGCTCTCTTCTCAGTGCTGGGGGGGAAGATGCGCAGAGAGGAGGGGAGAGCAGGCGAAGCAGAGGGTGCCAGCTCACCAGCGCTTTCAAATCTATGGGAGTTAGCTCCTCTTATAACCATGACAACCAGTGTTGGAGCTGTTGGAGCCGCTATCTCTGTGGCAGTCACACTGGGGGGGCGGGGGCATTGAGGCTAGGGTGGAAGGGCAGGAGATCCCCTTATTAGATTGGCTGCAGGGGGCAGAACGCCTCCATCGTTTTCCCCAGCCCAGGTCAGCACCCCAAACCTCGACTTTTTCCACAAACATCAGCTAACAGACACTGGGCCCCTCTCTAGGAGGTAGCATGTCTCTCATTAACCTCAAAGCAGGAGGAGCCTAGTTGGGGTACTCTCATCCTCTGGGGTCTTTCGGGAAGAAAACTCAATCATCTCAGCTGTTCCTGGTAGGAGGTCTCTCCTGCAGTCTAACTTTTATCCCTCTCTGATGTCAATCGCTCCCCTCTCATACTGCTCTCCACAGAAACATTAAAACCTAGGAGAGCTCCCACTAGTCCTCCTGGCCCAATTACTCTCCCCATCCTCGGAAGTCCTTTCTGACATCTACTCTCTGTCCTCTGGCTGCAGTGTCAGTCCTTCTGGCTTTGGTCACCATAGAGACAGGGCACAGTGTGTGTCCTTCTTCAGAACCTCTAAGGCTAGTGCCTTCCTCTTCAGCTTTCTCCTCTCCTGCTTCCCCCAGAGCTCTGCAAGTCATTCTACCTGACCATTCTGTGTCCATCTTTGAACCTGACAAGGTGGGAAGATGGGAACATTTTCCCAGCCCCTTCATGACCTTCTGCAGCTGTAACTTCTGATCCCTGAATTTTTTTCTCTAGTTTTGGAGGACACAGAGTAGGAATTGGAGCTAAGAACCACCCCTTCCAAGGTTCCCTTGCTTCTCAGAAATCAAAGTGCAGGATCCAGACTGCTGAGGCAGAGATGAGCCCCAAGTCTGAGGAACACTGGCTGAGGCCCTGGACAGAAAGACTCAGAACTCAGTGGAGACCCCTTGGCCTGGACCTCAGGAGATACATCCTGACTCACAGCTCCAGCCACCCTTGCAGTGCGGATGGGTAAGAGGCGGAGGAGAAGAAGAGAAGCACTGGCCAGTGCTCAGGGCAGAAAAGGGAAGTGTGAAGGAGCTGAGTCAGCAGTGCAGGGGCGAGAGGTCACCGGGCCTCACTGCCCCAGGGTCTCATGGTTTCTTAGTGGCCCAAGAGTCCGATCTCTCTTGCTTTTTCTCAGAGGCTTCAAGTATGCCTGGTAATGAGCATAGCTCAGAGTTCTTGAGGTTGTTCCCTTCTCTTTTCCTTCTCCCCTCCTCCCTCCATCATCGATTTTTCTTCTCTCCTCTCCTCCTCATACTTCCTTCTCTATTTCCTGATCTCCTTCCCATGTTCTCCCTTCTAATCTCATGACCTCCCTCTCCCTCCTCTTTCCTCTACCTCTGCCTTATCCTTCTGGCCAGCCCACTATTCTCCTCTGCTGTCCCCAACTTCCCTCCTTACTGCCCCATCCCATTCTCCAGAGGTGCAGCCAGCTCTTCTCCACCTTGGCCTGTTGAGGAAGATGACCTGAAGCTAACGTTCTAGCCTCCCCCTTTTACCTACCTACCTGGACCACTAAAAAATTCTTTATCTTCCTCCAAATTATAGCTCTTTATTTAGAAGGTCAATCCCCTCCTCTGAATAATAACCTTATAGACCTCAATGACCAACACCAAGGATCTGTTTTCACTGCCCAGCACGCCCCCCTTCTCTCCTGCTGTCCCAACCTTCTCTATAACACAGATAAAAAGTCTGAGCACTTATTACATTTGAAACAACAAACAAGCAAACACGTACATAATAAAAAGAATAAAATCTGTCTGGATCAGGGTCAGCTTCCGACCTGTAGATCTGTCTAATGCAGTTATAACTCCTTTTTTCTCATCCAGCCTCCGCCCCAGCCCTCCACCCTCAGACCCCCAGGACCACTCACCTGCCCAACCAACTCTGATGGGAATGAGGAAACGAACAGGGAGGCCAAGGCAGTTGGAAGATGGGATCTCTAGTGGCCCTTCCTTATCACAAAATGATAATCCAGGTACCTCCTTCCACTTCCTGACACTCACCCTCTCTCGGAGTGACCCCCTCTCTAGGTGGGCCAGCAGTGGGCAGCAGCCACAGCAGCAGCACATCCCAGCACGGGTGCTGCCCCGCAGCAAGCAGCCCTGGCACTGCCTAGCGCTATTGTCTGGGAGGCGGCCTGTGCCCGCCCCAGAGCTCAGGCTGCTAACTGGAAAGATGTGGGCCTGCTTACCCAGGGGTGCCTGCTCCAGGGGTGGTATGAATAGCTGGATTGGTTCTTTGTCCTCCTCTTTTCCAGGTATTCTTAAGATAATCAATTCAGTTTCTCCATTCACTCACTGACCAGGACAGCCCTTCTCCAGCAGCTCTTCTCTGCTGTGCCCTAATCTGTCTTCCTAGAAACAGGTCCATTACTCCATCAACACCCTTACTTCCAGCACTCACAGGTCCTTCCTGGTTCAATCTGCCACCACCTGGTATCTAGAATCATTATCTTTTTCTCATAAACTCTCACAGGAAGTGCTTTTTGCTACCCACCCTTTGTCTAAACCATGGCTAAATCAAAGATTTAGCACAGCACCTCATATACAACACACACTCAATGCATGTTTTGAAATAAAAGAAGGAAGAATGGATGGATGGACAGACACTAAAACATGGGGTCCTGGCAGTGTCCCTGCCCCTGCTCTGAGGAACCCCCTCATTCCTTCCCAGGGTCTCTTTCCTTGTTTCTCTTTTTCTTCCTCTTCCTGAAGGGTTCCCAGTCCCTCTCTCCTAATTCCTTAGCGCTTAGACCTTGAGGGTTTCCTGTAGAGGTGAGAAAAAGGCCAAACCAAATCATCCTTCAATTGTCACCTGGATCTTGGGTATCAGTCACTTACTTTTGGGAGAGAAAAACTGAGTGAATGGCAAGAAGGCACTGTGGGTGATTGGGTGACTGGTCAAAAGTTCAAAGCCGGAAATAGTCCTTCTACCTTCTCTCCCAGGCTGAGAGATGTACACAATAGGACATGGCAATGGGAAGGTAATGATGGACACAAAGAACAAGGCAATGCCAAGGCCAAGACTTTGGCTTCTCGTGCTCCCTAGTAGGCAGCAGGGGCTGGCAGAGACTAGCCAGGACAGTTGGAGCTTCTCTAAGTGAAGCCTGAGCCCTCAGCTGCTCTGCCACCTCCATCAGGTATGTCCAAACCAAGACCTCTGGGAAATTTACATGGTACTCAGAATTGCCTCTGCTCCAGCTGCAACCGGTAGTAGCCCCTTCCCTAAGATGGTAAGGCCTGTCTCTAAAGCCTCTGCGTCGTTGGCCAGGTTAAAGTCAGAGGTCAGGGCCCTGGCTGACCCCTGAAGGATTCCACTGGGGTTCAAGTCACTTGTGGTTCAGCCCCAGCGCAACAAGGGTGCCAAGTCATAGGCTGGGAAGGGCACTGAGTCATGGGGGATGAGCTATGGGACTAGGAAACAAGGAGGGAGAGAGTTCCTGACCATGGGGCTGAGGAGAGGGCCAGGGATGGCCTCAGTCAGACCCTGCCCCTTTATGAGCTTCTAGGGATAAGATAAAGGCGGAGGCTGGAGGAAAGCATCCAAATGGAAACACTAACACCACAGCCAGAAATATAACACAGAAAGACATTGGCAAACACACAAAGGCACTTAATAAATGCTTGCTTAATGAATGAAGATGAGACAGCGGGCAGTGGGGGTGGGCACATTAGTAAAGCAGAGGAGGGGCTCTAAGGGCCACAGGGAATAAAACCAGGCGAGAGAGGGGTAGGGGCCCTGAGACTCAGTCATCCTGGACCCCAGCCTGCCCCCCAACCAGTCACACCTGTCAGGCCAGGAGAGAGAGGCAAGCAGAGAAGGAGGGGGGAGTGATGCAAACAGACGGGCATTTGTGCAGGCGAACAATAGCTGTGCCAGGACTCCCTGGCCTCCTGGCACAGGGCAGGCCGGCTGGGTTGGGAGGGGGCAGCTGCAGCCTGCAGCCGCACCCCCCAAGGAGATATAAACAAACCCAGAAGGGTCCAGCCAGCTTCTTGCAGCCATTTCTCTTACTAGCTCCAAGAACCCTGACCAATCAGCTCACTCAGCCCCTACACGATACTTCAAACCAGAGACTGAAGCTAAGAATGGAACTACTTCCTCATGTCCAGAGAGCATGAGCCCTTTACTTTGGTGAAGTGATCACCAAATCAATACAGTAACAGTAACCAAGAGCATCTGGGGACAGACATTGGCAAGAAGACAAACACGCAAACACACACACACACACACACACACATCACATGCATGCATGCCATTCATGCATATTCCAAGTCTGTTCCCTCTGATTCCAGGGTCACTATTCTAGGGAAGCCACAGAGACTGAGATAAGAACCCCTCTTTCTTTAAATTCATTGGTTGGCCCAGCAGGTCTTCAGCCACCATCCAAATCCCCTGCAGGCACTCAGTGACTTCCCTAAGCTTTCTGCTCTCTCCCCTAACCACGTTTCTCCCCTCCCCCTCAGCTCTTTCCCTAACCTTCATGACCCTTATAATTTTTTTTCTTACACCCCTGAAAGCTTCAGCCTCCCTAGGGACCCCCAATTCCTCAACTCTCCTCCAAAATGGCAAGCCCTCCCAGCTCCTCCCTGGGCTCACCAATCCTCCTCTCCCGCTACACTCTTAGTCCTGCACACAAAGCCAGCCAGCCACCTCTCCATTCCCCAGAACAAAGAAAATAGTCCCTCTCCTCTCTCCCTACTCCACCTGCCCACCATATGCTGCAATGCTGGGGTTCTAGAGATTCCAAGGGAACCCTCAACCTCCAAAGCCATCCCTGGCTCTCTGGTCCTTTACTCACTCCTAGGTAGAAAAGAACCCTTTGTTCTGAGAGTGATGAAGGTTAGAGTTGGGAGAAGAGGGAGGGGGACATAGAGGGCTAAAGTGAGAAAAGGGACTTGTGGGGTTTAGGGCCTGTGGAGGAAGGAAGTAGAGCAGAGAGAATTGAGGGGGTGAAGAGCTGAAGACAGCCTGGAAGAACAGAAATGGAGTGAAAAGAAAAAGGAAGCATGGAAGCGGGGCACTACACAGAAAGATCCTATGGGGGTAGGAAAGAGAAGGGGGTCAGGTTATATCTAAAGTTCTCCTTTATAAGAAGGCCACAGGAAGAAACCTAAGGGATGGGAAGGGGGTGCTGAGGTGTCAGGACTTAGCTCTGACCCATCTTTCCAAGTAGGTAGCAGAGGAAACCTTCTTCCTCAATCTCATTTCCAGCAAGCCCCCCTCTACTTCCCACCGCAGTATAAAAAGAAAAGAGACAGCTGGTGAGCTTGGGGGAGGGGGAAAGAGGGGATACAGGGTTTGTTGGCTAAGAACCAACTCCCCCTTTCTGTAACCACAGCTTTCCGGAGGTGGCTCTCCCCTTCCGACCAGCCCAAACTGACAACCACCCTTCTCCTGTGGCCTCTTTGCCCTCTCACATCTAACCCCCACCACTCCCCACCCCAGGCCAGACTCCCAAATTCTTCCCCACCCTCAGGGTAGGAAGAAGAGCCAGGCTTCTGGACTCACATCCCTCACTAATCCTCACCACCAAAAAAAAAAAAAAAAAACATAGGCCACAAGGACCCAGGTATCCAGCCTTCCAGCTCCCTCCAATAACAGAAAAAGGACCCCAGTATCTAGCCTTCCAGAATCCCCCTCTACACTCCCTCCAGGTCTGAGGCCCCCCCCCCATGATCCCCCATGGCTTTCCTTTTTAGGGTGGAACCAAATTTCCGTGGTTTCAAAAAATCTCTCCCGCCCCCATTGGCTTTACTCCAGGGTCTCAGCACAAACGGTTGAAAAAATAAACAGACCTTTGCGTTGGGGCCTGGGCTGAACTGGGGCCTAGCCTGGCACAGGGTTAAGAAGAGCCTGTCTGCCACCCACTGTTCCACCACACTTCAGCCATCTCACCCTGGCTCACTGTTTGTTTTAGGCCCTACTCAAATTCTGAGTTGTGTTCTGGTTAGCAGAATCTTATCCCAACTCATTAAAGGAGGTATTAAAGTTGCCCAACTCATGTAGAACCTCTCCCAATTTAGTTTTAAGACAGGTAGTCTAGCATAGAACTAGGAGAGAGGTAGGAAAGGTTTTTTTTTTTTTTTTTTTTTTTTTTTCCCACCTTTTTTTTTATTTCCATTTGGGTACAGCTTTCTTGCCTGAAGAGGGTGATTAG